TGGGCTAGTGCTTAGAGTGTCAACTTCGGATCCAGGAGGTCGCGCGTTTGAATCCCGGCCGAGTCATACGAAAGATATAAAAATGGCACTAACAGCTGCCTCGCTTGGCACTCAGCATTCAGAGGTTAGAGATATGACCTTTCGGCTTGGTATTAGGATGAATGAGACTGGGTGTGATATCATGCTACATGTCTGCGGCATGATGACATGACTATAAACTGCCACACTACAGATATAGAAACGACATAACTGAAAAATCAAAATCGCACACACACAAACATACACACACATTCTGGTACAAGTTGCAAGCAGTATTGCAGCTGACTAGAGCACTGACATCTGCAATACGGAGACAACAAATCCCATTGTTTGAAATAGAACGAAAGGTAATAGGGGTACAGTATCCTGTTGTATGTGTATCACAAGAAACTGTGGCAATTTGTGTAGAGTGGATCTCTGTCTTCGTGTTCTCTCTGTTCTTGAAGTAAATCAAAATGAGATCGACGATGTCTTTCTTGTAAAAGAAAGTCGTTGAAGTTATTACAAAAAGTAGTGATATTTTACGCAACCTTAGTTCGTAATAGTCCCTTATGTTGAAAGCAATTTCTTCCAAAGTCACAGACATAATTCATGCAGTTAACTATTATTGCTTGGCTAAGCAACTAGTTAAACAGCATAAAATCTTTCCATCCGTATATTAACAGTGCACAATAAACTCAGTTTACCTTTATATTTATACTTGATAGTAATTACTGGCATCTATAATCCGTAACAGATGATCAAAAAGAAAAACATTGATTCCATTAATAATTTTTGGCTGAATACCGTAAACTTTTCTATGAAAATACTGAAAAATATCAACCTCATGACAATCCTCAAACATATATGAATAAATATAAAGTCTATATCAGTTGTAAGACGAAATGCCGAATGAATATCAGGTTTAAAAATCACGACGATTATGCAGATTTCATAAGAGGTAATAGGAAAATGTGACTGAGTGTATTCGAATAATTCCTACATCAATAGAATCCAACACATAGACAGATATTACCTACTTCTAACAATTATCAGGTTAAGGTGAGTTTATTTGCAATATGCACAGTGGAGACAACATCGACATAACTCAATACTACTTTCATGTACTGTGACTGAAATTTATTAACAGTTGTGGAAAAAATGCATAATTTACTACACATGTGACTCCTGCCCTCACGTCATCGAAAAATTACTATGAACTAGTCCAAAGTACATAAACATTAGCAATTAGCAAAATAGGAAAATATACATTTTGCCAGGGTAATCAATACGATTTCTATAAGTGAAATGAACGAATTACAAACTATACAAGAAGTAAAATAAAAAAAGCAATGTTATAATAGTCTGTTTTTTATAATCTACCTTTGAAGTCCAGGAAGTGAGGCCAGGCTGTATACTCTTGAAAACCAACTTACTCTCATCCATCATACACCAAAGTAAAGGAAAATTTAAAGTTCTATTAATAATACTTAAAATGTACAATTTCAATTTTAAATAACCGGAATAGCCAGTGAGGAAACCCTGGGGAATGAATTTTTATTAAACATTAAACCTTATACAAAATACGAATCTGTAAAGCAGTGCCTTAACACAAATCCTGTTCTTTGGAGTGCAGGATGTTACAGTTTGAATTACATATATTGTTTTGCAATGAACAAAGTATTGAGACATTATTTGTGCACATCATTTTTACTAATAAAAGAAAAAGTATGTGTTGCTTCTTATCGCATTGACAGTGGCAGATAAATCTAGAGTATTGATTAATGTGAAATTTAAAATAGTGCGATCTTCGTCTTGAAGTTTCGAGAAATTAAAGTTTTAATACTCTCAGTTCAACTACTACGCTAGCGCGGCAATATCTCCCACTAACGTGATATTTGAAATCTTAAGTCCTGTTTTGATAAATGGGACGACGAAATCACTAACTTGCTTAAAACTAACGGTTGCCCAGATTATGTGTACCTTACATACACAAACGGAGTTGACGAGCGGTGAACAACGGCGAAGTGAACACTAATGTCAAATTTGTTTCATGTCTTAAAAATGGCATAAAGCTACATTGTATTGAAATGTACGAAAGTCCATTAGTGTCAAATTTGTATTGAGTTGTACAAAAGTCAATTAGTGTCAAATTTTTATTGAGTTGTACAAAAGTCCATTAGTGTCAAATAGTTTGTGTCAGAAAAAATATATTGCGAATAAATGCAAAACTTTGTGAATAAATGCAATGCTCATTGCACAAGTGGTAACACTTATTAGGAACAAACGCAATATAACAATTATATGAACACCTCCGTAATGAGCCATAGTGACCGATCTTGTACAGTTTATTTGTGCTTACATTTTGGGTTATTGTCGTTCATTTTATCTATGACGTATTTTCTTTTTCTTCTTCTGGAAACCAATACCAGAAATATGCAAAAATATGTACCCTTATTTACAATTTCATAACTTTCTAGTTATACTCCAGTTCATGAGAATTGTAGGTCATACAAGCCTCATAAATCGCTAAAGAAGGTATATTTAAAACATTGATTTTTTACGTAAGTTATTAGTAAATATAGCAATAATATGGCTAAAAATATTTCTTCGGATGTTACATGAATGAAGACATTCTGAATTTCATCTACAAATTCTTTCTCAAAATATTTTCTTTCTGGCCAATTTAAAATAAAATTTTATAGTTTCATGAATCTGTCATTCTTGCAAAATTGTAGCAGTAAGGAGTGTTGCCAGATGTTTTGAATTTTATGTTTTAGTTTATAGTCTTTCATTGGGAAGTTTTCGGTCATTTAGTCTAGCGTAGTTTGTATTCCCTTGGAAAGTTATGAAGAAAATGGGCAACATATGTGAAAATATAATATTTGAAAACCAACGACGTAACCGATCTGAGGAACACTATTGGCATGTTTTAAATAAAATGTCATGGTCATATTACAAAAGTCAAATTTAATATGCCAAAATCAGTGTAATATCTCCAGGAATGTTTCATTGATCTACACATTTCTATAAAGATTTGTTTCTGCTAGAACTTGGCATTTCATGTTTGTTAAAGATTGAAGCCATTTACTGTATGTGAATTGAGTAAAGATTAAGATTAATATTGTAGTACTTGCAGGCATGGCGTGTGGAGTGTCGGGCGATTAACATTGTTATACTGTAGAACATTTTATTTCAGATTAATACGCAGCATACCATTTTTTAATACGGAAGACCTTAAAATTACTATAGAGGCCACAAATGAGGACGAGGAACAAAGCTAGACTTTATTATTATTTCTAATATTTGGAATGCGTTCAGTAAGAAGTAAACAAAAGTGATATATTCTCTTCAAGGCCTTAAAAATAATTTTTCTTTAAAACTATTTGATAATCTTGCCATGGCTAGATGATGCTGCCAATCTAAATATAACATACTCTTGTGAACATTACTAGCAATTTGATGACGAATAAATTGTTCAAGCAAAATGTATGGCCTTCCTCTCCTTATGATGTAATGTTTGCAATATGTGTTTCAAACATCTTGTGCAGCTTTCTTGTTCCTGTAGATCATCAGGAACGTGTTGTGGAGAGACGTTGTGCATATAATTAATACGACTTTATGACTTTGAAATCCGTGATATAAAAGAGTAAGAAGCTACAAGCTTTGTAAAATTCAACAAATAATCTATTTCCATAGAATAAAAAGTGAAAATGTAAAAACAAGGAACTTACGGTATTGATATTTAAATCCTAAAATAATAATAGAATTAAAGACTCAATCCTAATTAATAAAGTTTTGATTAAACTTTAGTGTATCCTCAAATTAATTCTAATACTGAAAATTTGTATGTGCCTGTTGTGGCCAGCAAGGTAGTAATGCACCACGAGTCTTTTGTTGGATAACAATAATACAATCCAAGAATATATCCTTATTTGACATTTCAGTTTAAATTCAAGTTTTTATTTCCAAAACTGTTATTTTTCAAGATCACTTCGTATTTCCATGTATGAATCACTTGAATTAAATAATTTATATAAATCAATTCTATTCCAAACGAATTTCTTGACACGATAATTGATTCTGCTAAGAGCATAAAGAACGAATGAATAACCTTTTCAGTAACAAGATTATATAATCTGTTATTCACCACAAGTCACAATTAGAATTTTCTATAAAAGGAAACATATTACCTAATGGAGTATAACCTTCTTGAAACATCTTAATGTTAACAATAATTAGAAGGTTTGTTATTAAGATTATAATATAGGAAGTGGGACATATCAAGTAAGTCAGGTATATTTAATGGGAAATTTTAATAACATAGACCAAGACCCAAATAAATATGTTTGCTTTGTTAATATTATCTTAATATTAAAAATATACACTTAGAGAATATCTTAGCTATGTATTAGTTGTTTATGAAAGAACAATATAAATGATTCAGGTCAGGTAAAAAATAAACCTGATTTTGGACAACGTAAAGTCCAACAGAGATTGATACATTATCAACAGTGCATCATGAAAATAAATTTTAAGAAAATCAAAAATAAAAAACAACAAATGCATATTAAATATACATAACATGATAAACTGTTTGAAACAAATGTTGAATTGTATCTGGAGAAGATGCAGAAGAGACCAGTGATCTTTGGCCATATTTAATGTGACTCACGTTCCTTATATGTTATATAGATGTGCAAATAATTTAAACACATTTTGAAGATAATCAAATCATATGCAAAGTGATGTGATGTGATTATGATTTTTAACGTAGCTTTAACAATTTTTCAGTCATATTGCTACGATGTCTGCAGTTTGTAGTGATGTCTATCAATGGGGTATCATGCCGCAGACATGTAGCATGATGTCCCACCCAGTCACATTATCCTGACACCAGGCCGACCAGTCATGACACTGATCTCTTAATGCTGAGCGCCAAGCGAGGCAGCTGTTAGTATCATTTTTGTAAGTCTTTGGTATGACTCGACAGGGAATCGAACCCACGACCTCTCGCATCCTTGGCGGACACTCTAACCACTAGGTCACCGGAGCGGTTTGATATGCTGGTTATTGTGATAGAATTACTGCCAAGATAAAACACAATACATCAATTTCATGACGTGTAATGGGTGTATAAAGCATTTTGTTCACTATATGAATTGGTATTACTTTTATGCCCTATTATACATATTGATACGCTTTATACATATCGACGCCATAAGATGCACATTGATACGAACAATATATACTGATACGTACGATACATATTGATAACGTACTATACATATTGATGCCGTATTGATAATTGTTTCCTTTCGTTTGATGGTTATCATATATTTATTTAATCTATGCTAATATTATTTGTTGAGGCAAAGTAATTACATTTTGAAAGGAGGAAAATTAAATCTATAAAAGCGTTGCCAATGCGACAACTATAATCAAATCTTGAATATGGCTCTCACGTGTTGTTGTTCACTAAGCATCTGTGCTATTTGAATACATCCATATACAAGACCAGTTTAGAACAGGGATTTATCAAGTACTGGATACACCGTGTTTTTTAATATTTAAAAAAAAAAACTACGGCAAGCTTTTACCATTTTCAACTAAGGACTTAAAAAGCATCAAACTAAAGAGGTAGAAACAATTCATATTTATTCAATAAATAAATCTGTCTGTTATATAACATTGCATACTTTATGACTCCATCATTCTAAATTGATGTGTTGCAAGTTATATGAACATCGCACGATACATATGTTTCTTACTTAGGATCATTTATTACCCTTAATTTTAACCTAATTCAATTATTTTAAAAGAAGTGTATTAAAGAGTGATGATTTCGTTCTGGTTGACTTTTCTTAGACATTGCTTAATGTGGTTTGGTTTGTGTCAGCTGGAAACAATTTTCCTTTGTATTAACAATCTGATTTTCGATATATTGTTATTTCACTAAGAGAAACGGTTATCATCATCAAAATAAGACTCGTCATTTACATACATATTTCTTCTTCATCAGAACTTCATTAATTTGTTAGTAGTTACTCTTCACGTTTAATAAAGTTCAATTAAAAGCCTATTCCCACGGTTCCCATCCGGATAAACCATACGTACTTGATGCATATCTGCTTTATATCTCATTCCTTCTTTTGCGTAGATAATGAAAACCCTCATCTTGCGCCGAGACTGATCTCATCTGTATTAATGCATGCTCATAACTGATAGATGAATAGTTCTTTGACTTCCACGAAAACTTGTATGTTTACTTCACGTTCTCTGATATTCCGTTGATCATTTTCCTACAAAATCTAGTACTCCATAAACCTTTTCCTTCGAAAACAAAATTTGATTTTGAAAATGAACTGCAAAAGCAAAATTGAAAAGTTCATTTTCTTAGAAGATTTATCAGAAGGTTGAAACTCTTAATTTATTAATCTGAACATTGGAACTCTTGAGACTAACCTTGCGAAGTCACTTATCAAATAGCGTTAATATCTTAAGGGCTTTCTTGAGTAACTGTATGATTTTTCCGTGGCCTTGGCATTAAACCAGTTGACTATTTCTAAATTGCCTTTCATGTGTCCATAGTGCTTTTGAAATCAATTTAATATCATCAAAGCCGTCAATCTGACCATAACTCGAAACAAATGGATCTCTCTCTCTCTCTCTCTCTCTCTCTCTCTCTCTCTCTCTCTCTCTCTCTCTCTCTCTCTCTCTCTCTCTCTCTCTCTCTCTCTCTCTCTCTCTCTCTCTCTCTCTCAAGTTAATTTACCAGTCGGTTTTGCTATGTTTTTCTCCATGTACAGTTTGTATTTTTAAAACATTCTGCATTTTTCCTTTCTTGCATCCGATTTCTCACTTTGTCTAGTGTATGACTGCTGGCAAAAGGCTTTACCTCTTTGTTCCTTCTAAAAGATTCATGTTTATTAAATAATTCAATAGTTGATCCGTTATTTATTTTCTTTATTATTGGTTTATGAATGCACAACTTCTTCTTGTTCCGTGTGCGCAAATGTGTGCATGTATGTAAATCCGTTTATAATAATGCACCTGTGTGTGTGTGTGTGTGTGTGTGTGTGTGAGTGATTTGGATTCTTAGCGTAGCTTTAACAATTTTAGTTGTGTCTCTGCAATGTTGCAGTTTGTGCATGTATGTAAATCCGTTTATAATAATGCACCTGTGTGTGTGTGTGTGTGTGTGTGTGTGTGTGTGTGTGTGTGTGTGTGTGTGTGATTTGGATTCTTAGCGTACTTTAACAATTTTAGTTGTGTCTCTGCAATGTAGCAGTTTATAGTGACGTCCAGCACTGGGGCATCATGCAGCATGATGTCCTACCTATTTACTTTATCATAACACCAATTGTCGACCAGTCTTAATGCTAACCTCTTGATGCCAAACACCTAGTGAAGCAGCTGTTAGTACCATTTTTATACGTTTTGGTATAATTTAGCTAAGGTTCGAATCCACGACCTCCCTTATCCACGGCGGACCCTCTAACTGGTGTGTGTGTGTGTTTGTGTGTGTGTGTGTGTGTGTGTGTGTGTGTGTGTAAGCGTTCAGTATATATATATATATATATATATATATATATATATATATATATATATATATATATATATATATATATATATATATATATATATATATGATAAGTTATTAAGCATGTAGAAGAGGGGCGCAAGTTATTGTCAGAAAGTGAATGAAAACATGTATCTTTATTACTAATGTGTTTGATGAGATTGTAAAATTAAATGTGCCATCCTACTCTTTACGACATCGATATGGTCGAAAGGAAGACAGAGAGTGAAAGACAGAATTCATTAGGTCAGTCGTTCAAATATTACAAAGTCAAAGTATATGGGTACATAATTAAAACAAAGACAAACTTTGTGTTTGATGCTGGCCACTTTCGTGACTTTATATTGAAATAAATATAATGTATTGAACCAAAATTTTGCTATGTATTTATATCATAACATAACTATCTGGACAAAGTCTGAAGAGTAAACATGTTAATGAGCAATGAGATACAGTATAATATATACATTTTTTTGAGGCTACAACCGCCATAAACAGAAATACAGCAAATCGAACTTGCTGCATTTCTGGCAGCCACAAAAGGTTGGTGGGGCAAAGAACAAAAATGTCCCGCATCAAAGAAAAGAACAACAAAATAAATGTTGATCAATATTAAACCGATTAATTATGTATTGCCCAGGCAGTAGAGCACCCTCATATGTCCCGGTAGTTATGGTATATCCAGCCTGTATGAAGAATTGAGAAGAGAATGTAAAACTGATCCGCGTACTTCTTGAGTGCGCTGTTGGTCTTCCGGAGCTGTTAGAGTACACTCATACGCTCCCGGCGGTCGAAACGGCAGGTAGACACAGATTAGTCCGAGTCAAGTGTGTGCCATCCCCGCAAAGCACAGTCGATGACCAGGGATCTAGGTCTGCGAAACCCACGAGACTTTAAGAGAATAATAAACCACACAGCAGAATGGCGAAAAGTGACTGAACTAAAGTGCTACAAAGCCGAAACCCTTTTGCCTAAACTTATGTATTTCTTAAATGCATCCGATTTTCAGCGGCCTAATTCCCTTATTTGGTTGGCACGTAAAACTTGTCTAGCCGCCTCAGTGGCAGCTCCAATTCTGAAACTTTTGGACTTAAAATGGTAAGAGTCAAAGCCACAAAAGCAAAGTGCGCTTCTAAGTTCTGTACTAAAGTCTACTCTAGAAACTGGTTGACCATTGCGGTTCATGAAAAGTGGTTCTGGAGTATTATCCCTGAGTGTCAGGTATGTCTGTGTAAGCGTTCAGTATATATATATATATATATATATATATATATATATATATATATATATATATATATATATATATATATATATATATATATATATATCCTGAGCGCTTATGACTCTTAATGAGTCTTTTTCAAAGGCATATACATGACATGAACAAAACAACAAATAAAACATAGAAAACGTTTTGTTTGTAAAACCCTACATTGCTGTTTCTACATGAATTAAACTTATGGATGCATTATGTCTCAACCAGTCTATATAGACTTGTTGCAGATACTGAGAAATATTTGTAGTTAATTAGAAATTTATGAGCCATAGAGACATATATTACTTTTGTGTACATTTATGTAACGCAAATTATATCCCGGATATATGATTATATTCCGGATATTTTTTTCTTATAGTAGTAATTAAAGGATACGAAGAAGATTTAGTAAAGTTTGAAAAGAAAATGTGTCGGCTGCAAAGGATAATTCTAACAGTACAAAGCTTTCTTTTTCTGGTCTTCTTGGTTTAGACCGTTCGGTTTCAATGTTCTAAGTCGGCGTATCCAGTAAGATTTCTTTTCCTTCCTTGTTAGGAACTCCAGTTGGGGTTGTTAGCAATTGAGATAAGTGTTATATCACTGAAAGTGTGGCTAGGGGAGGAGAAGTGTTCTGCGACCGGGCTTCTGTACAGCTTCTTTGTCATCCATATCAGATCTATGAAGGATTATCATTTTGTGTAGCTTTTCAATTTCTTCGACATACTGAAGGCTACAGATGTTACATGTGATGAGATAAATTACATTCTCTGTTTTGCACGTTTTGTTTGGACCATGTATGTTTAGTTTTTCTCTAGTCACCGTGCGAGTGAATGTCTTGGTCTCTATCATAAGTTGACAGGTTTTGCATCTTTTATCTTTTATTGACTGGGGTGGTCTTGACTAGTGACTGGCCTTAACTTCGTCTTGACTAGGATGTATTTGAGTTTTTTTGTTCTCCGGTAGGTTACTACCGGTTTATTCGGAAGGATTAACTTTTTCTGACGATTCCACGATGGGCAAGTGTTTCGCCATGATTTTACCTACTCTGGATGGTAGGTCACGATAAACATTATTCTATCGGCCTTTTCTTTCTTTTCATATTTGAGTAGGTCATCGCGATTTATTTGTTTAACCCTTTGGATTGCCTCGGTAAATTTAATGTTTCGACAGCTCTTTAGACCTTTCTTGGAATGTTTTATCGTCGGAGCAAATTCAGCT